ATCTTCAATATCTCGCTGACTTTTCCTGGATCAGAAACATGAGAATCTCGAAATACACACAGCCAAATCGATAATGTTGTGACCAGCGGATAGATGTACAACCGCCACGGCGCAGAAAAGAAGGCTCGCACACAAACACAAGGAAGGAAGAATTTCGGGAAGTAGAAGTCAAAAACCTTGTAGCTCGGAATACGTCAAAAGCCATCAAACCATTCAGGACTAATATCGGATATTGGGGATGCCTCAGTTACTCCGTAAGCTTAATGGGGTGGTATTCTCCTCCCACTTCTGTATCATTTTTACATATCGGAGCTTCCTTCTCCACTGGAGAGCGTTTCAATGACTTCTTATACCGATGACTGCTCACTATTGACGCCTGACTAGGATATTGATAATATATGCACTACTTCAGTGTACGATACCCAAACTCCTCGGCTAACCTTTGCACCAGCTGGACGAAGGAGTGTTGGCTCGAACTTGATCACTTCGCATACGATTGTAATTACCACAAAAGTACAGAGCCGTAACAATATCCTCAAATCAGCCAGCAGCATCTGTGGAAAAGACAAAGTAACGTGTATCATAACACACGAGGCAATTGGCCCGCCAGTCCAAAATTACTGCTTGAATTTGTTCATCGAGGACTAGTGAGACGCAGAGACCTCCTTGTGTCACAGCAGCATCACCTGCACCGTGGAAAAGAGTTAAGAAGTATAATGTTATACGGTGTAAGCTGGAATGCTACTGTCGGGAACATCCCAACAGACATTTACTGGAAGCTGAACCTTCACCCAGGCTGATCAGGAAGGGAGTACTAAATAACTGGGATTTCATTCACCACCATAGACCAGAATCGCTGGACAGCTTAACTGTCGGTATGGCATCAACACCCTTTTTGAACTCTTTTCCGGTGGACGGCGTTTCCGAAGCTTGGATTTTCATATCAAAAATACACTCGGAGGGCTTGACATTCCCTGTGTTTTGCATGTCCTTTTCTAACCTACCTATCTAGCCAGCTTTCCCTCTGGTCTTCGTTCGTTTCCTGGACTTCTGGTTAGATAACCTCGATTACTAAGACTAGTCTCACCTACTCTTAAACGCTACAAGAGTAGCACCCCGAACACCGTTACAATGGCTACCATAACTTCCATTCAAATTCGTTTTAAATTCATTACTCATTTCCACCGAATGCAAAAGCCTTAAGTATATCAGCTTATCAAGCACTTTTCAAATTCCATACCTCAAGGGCCATTTAATCTGTAACGATACAGTTAACCACTTAATGGCAAAAGCCTCCCTTTTATCTCACACCCACAGATATTCGTAATAACTGGTTTTCATTTTATTATGCAAAAGACTACACAGTTCCTCCAGCACTTAATTCTTCTTGTGTATAACACTAAAATACACTAACAATTTTTTTTTTTTTCAATTTCAAAACGATTTAACCTTTTACGTGTTGCGTGCGAATGGCGCGAAGGCGTTAATTTTTTAAAAATATTTACCCACTTTAGGTTAACACGCAAGTTAACTCCTCGACTAAATGTTGCAAGCATTAATATGCACACACTGCACTACATACATACAAGCTATACATACATACTTATATAATCGTGAGTGCATACACGATGATGATGATGCGCTGACAATCAACGCTGACAGCAATGACTAAGAGGAGAATGTTGACAATGAAATGAAGTGACTGTTAGTGGAGTTAATAAGGCGGCAGCAGCAAGCAGACACTCAGGCAGCTGTCAACAGCGAGTGGCGAGCGGAGGAGTAGGGGTTGGTTACCCTAACACAAATTAAATAGATTCCTTTTGTCCCTAGTCATCGGTGTTTAAATAAAAAATTCATTTTGATTGATTTAAGTTGCGTTTACGTGCACACGCGTGCTCTCAAGCATCGTATGAGTGTGTGTGTGTCCTTCCCTTCGGTTATATCGGAGAATACATAAGACTGCGTATAAAATTAATATCAAATATTTGCTCAAAAGTCGCAAATAATTAATGAGTCGCTTGTAATTAATTTATTTTATTTATTTCAAATAATTTTTAAAATTAATTTTCTAAAAAATTTTTAATTTCGCTAATCCCGCTTAGGCGCAGGCTAAATCAGTCTAAGTCATCGGGCTCATCTTATAGGAGGTCCAGGAAATGAGCTGTTTCGACGGATTCGGGCAAGAGGCAAACGGGAGTTAGATACAATAAGCCGCCTAGGAAGGGCGGATGGTTTTTAATAAAGAGCTTTCATTTCATGTGAAGAGTGTATTCGACATTCCCCACCGAGGGACGACCTCCATTAGAAAATTTAACTTAATTTTTCATTTAAATTTATTTTCTATAAATTTCGCATGTTCCTACCCGGATTAGAATCCGAGCCTTCGTACGGTTTTGTATTGATTTTTCAAAATATGATCATGAAATGCCAACTTCATTATACCCCTCTCGTAGTAGGCTGCGTCCCTATTGGTAAAAAACTCGGAGAGCCAATTTTCACAGCCCTCTCTTGAGGCCAACTTCTAACCATTAAGCGCGTTCTCCATGGATAGGAAAAGATGGTAATCTCTTGGTGCCAGGTCCGGACTATAAGCTCCGAGCTCCTGGAGCTTTTGGCGCGCCACCAAAGCCATGTGAGGCCTGGCGTTGTCCTGATGGAACACAATTCGGCCTCTGTTGATCAAAGATGGCCTCTTCTGGATGAGTGCTGCCTTCAAGCGGTCCAGTAGTTGGCAGTAGAGAGCCGAATTAAGCGTTTGGCCATAGGAGAGCAGCTCGTAGTAGATAATTCCTTGCCAATCCCACCACACACACAGCAAAACCTTCCTGGCCGCCAATCCGGTCTTGGCCACCGTCTGGCCCGCTTCCCCGAGCTTTGAAAACGACCGTTTACACTTGTTGCTGTTGTAAGTGACCCATTTTTCATCGCCATCCACAATCTGCTTCAGAAACGGGTCGATTCGCAGATGGAAATTCAGTTCATCATGTTTTTTAACGTTAGTTCGTGTGTCACCCGAACATCGAGCTTCTTTTTATATCCAAGATTATGCAAATGGTTCCAAGCGGTTTTCTGGCTTATCCCTAGTTCCGCAGCAATTAAATAAGTGCTTACATAACGGTTTGTTTCCTCTATTTCCATGATTTAATCACAATTTTTCGACGACAGTTCTCCCGACGTGTGGTGCATCTATAACATCGAAATTACCGAAATTTTCTCTTTGCTGGTGTCCATCTTTGACGAGCGCTCCCAACGTACAGAATCAATCAATCGAAAAACCATCAAAGATAAACTTTTAGCGCGATAAAACATGTTTTCAGCGCCGTATAGCATGACATGATGCGACACGTAACACTGGTATTATGGACAATAACGCCATCTCTTGGATAAAAACCGAACGAACCTTTTACTTTACCTAATATTTTCCCCAGTTGCTGCCGGCGAACGCTTTGACGATTTTGTTGCAGCTCAATTACAATGGCATGCGTAGTGCTGTCGAATGTGACTCCCAGTAGCTTCGGTGTGTTTATAGTCGGAATTTTTATGCCATCGACTTTCACAAGCGAGTTGGTAGCTGCAGATTTTACTGACTGTAGTCGTATTTGTCTGTGTTTGTGACGAAGGAGGAAAAGTCGTCGATCAGTTCACTTTCGAATGTAAGTCATCAGTATCCTGGCCAGAAGCCAAAATCCTGCAATCATCGGTATTTGAGATCAGTAAAATACATTCCGACGGAGGAGAGAGATTTAAGATATAAAAGTTAAACAGCAGGGAACCAAGACCAGCCTGCGGAGCACCTACGAACGAGCGATGTTTTACTTGGAGATTCTACCTATGATTGACGGCCACTCAGGCAGCCCATGATCCACGACTTCAACTCCGGCGATAATAATCACTCCTAAATGTTCGAATTTATCCCTGAATGGTTGAACATGTCAAAACACAACTAGAGGGAGGAGAGATATCGCTATGACTCTCCTTTGTTGGCTGGTTTCCCATGTTACAGTGGTGGGGCGACCTTACCCATTTTCCACATGTCGACTTTCACGACAGCCAGTTTTACGGTACCAGAATTGACCCGTTCGGCGACCAAGCCCCGACTCGACCACACTCCGTTTAGGTCAGCAGATAGCTTTAGGACCTAATTGTTGGAGAATTCGGTTGAGCTTCAGTTCTAAGCAGTGTATTGACGTCATTGCCCCTCGGCAGAGAATGTAAACCCCTCCGAGTGATTTTCTGATATGAAAAAAAGCTCCTCACTCCGAGTACAGCAATCATCATTAAACTAAGCATAACGGTCATTAAGATATCAGCGCAGTCATCCTATTTGTTGTTCGGCTTTGACTCCGGGAGTAGGAGTTTTTTCCAGTAGCTCACCATTGATTCAAGTGGTGTGGTGATTACATATTTAAGTGACTCCGATAGGTCTCTCAATTCGGAGTTTCATTACTGTTAATGATAGCTTGGCGCAAATTAGCCTAGAGGTTTTATATCTTCTCAAAAGGGTCGCTTGCATTCATATAAACACAGTGGGCCGAAGCTCATTTCGATGTTCATAACCTCAGTGTGAACTAACTATAAAAAAAACTACGATGAGAAATTATGAGCGAAGAATGCTCCCTGGAAGCGGCAAGTTTTTAGAATCGGTATCATACGTGCCCAGCAATCAGCTTTCTGCATGGTAATAATGAACTCAGGATTAGGAAAGTCTAAAATAGAACTTCATTAAAGATAGAAATTTTTGCTTGTGAAAGTCTGTGAGATAAGACGGATGTCAAAACGTGGTCAGCATGCTCCTTGTTCTCTACTTCTAAGATTGTTGAATCTTTCCATTAATATTTAAAAAAACAAACGGCATTGAAAAATAAGCTCTTCAGAATAAAGAAACTTTCATGGAAATAATCGTTCCAAGAACGCTACGTTTGGTTGCCTTTTGACAAACACCAATATTTAAGTTTATATTTTCTTCTAACACTTGTTTGGCCCCTCTCTCCCCATTTCAGCTTAAACTCTACTAACGCTCAGCTTCCGCAACAAGCACTTACACCCCTGCCAGTGCTTGCAAAATGTCCACGTCCTCGAGCAGCCAACGCACCCTGTATGCGCCAATATTATTACTCGCCACTTCTGCGGCTTTCTTGGCGATCATTGCCAACGCTGAAGGTAAATCGACTGGTATTGGCTTAACACCACAACAACAGCAGCAGCAACAACAACAGAATACAATACTCTCCGAAATGGATACTGAAGATGTACGAGACAATGATATAACCGGAGATTCGACGAATTATGACAAACGTATGGAACGTTATGCATTCGGTTTGGGTCGTCGAGCATACACATACACTAATGGTGGTAATGGAATGAAACGTTTACCGGTATATAATTTCGGTTTGGGTAAACGAGCTAGACCATACTCGTTCGGTTTGGGCAAACGTGGTGAATATGATGAAGATCAGTACCTTGATGATTTGTTGGATCGCAATCTCTATGATGCGGCATTTGTTGGTGAGTACGAAAATGTCTGAATTGTAATTACAATAAAAATTTTAAAATATTGGGATTTTGATAAAGTAATAACACATAAATAAAAATACATATTACCACTAAAAAATAATTATATATTAAAATAAACTCCAATATTGTAAAATAAAAAAAGAAAATAATAAAAAATAAAATAAAATCAATTACATTAAATAAAAGAAAAGAAAAGAAATAAAAGAAAATGTAATAAAATAAAAATATTCAATATAAATGAAACCAAAATATATAAAATAGAAATAATTTAAAGTAAAATAAAATAAAAAAATTGAAAACCTTATGTTTAAAAAAAGAAAGTAAAACAAAACAGTAAATATTAAAATGAATTTAAAAAAATAATAAAACAAAATAACACAAAATAAGGCAAAATAAAAAAGAATTGATTTGAATTAAAATAAATATAATAAAATTAAAGGAAATAAAATAAAAAAATAATACAAAATTTAATAAAATAATAGGAAATAAAATAAAATAAAATAAAATAAAATAAAATAAAATAAAATAAAATAAAATAAAATAAAATAAAATAAAATAAAATAAAATAAAATAAAATAAAATAATATCATATACAATTGATTACCATAAAATAATATCAAAAAAAATAAAATAAAATAAATCCAAATAAAAAAATAATTTAAATTAAATAAAATATAACTGAATAAAATATAGTAGCAAAAGATTAGGTAAAAAAAATATAAAAAAGGAAAAAAATAACCTAAAAATATTTAAATAAAATTAAACAAATTAACATAAAATAAAAAACAATTATCAAATATAAAATAAAAAATTGAGATAAAGTAAAGTAAATCAAAAATAAGATATAAAAAAATTATAAAATAAAAAAATAATATAAATAATAAATAAGAAAATACAAAAATGAAATAGTATAACATTAATAAAATAAAATAAAGCAACAAATTAATGTATTAAAATAAAATAAATTAACATAAAATAAAATAAAGCAAAAAAAATAGAAGACAATTAAATAAAAAATAAAATAAATTAAAATAAAGTAAAGTAAAATTAAACAAAAAATTAGTTAACATAAAATAAACTAGAAGATAATTAAATAAAGTAAATTAAAATAATAGAAAAAATTAATATATTAAAAAAAATAAATTAACATTAAATAAAAAAGAAGATAATTACCGTAATTAAATTTAATAAAATAAAATTAAATATAATAAAAATAAATATACTGATATATTATAGAATGAAATAATATAAAATAAAATAAAACAAAATATAATAATACAAAATTAAAAAAAAAATAAAATACGCAAACTAAAATTAATTAAAACAAAAAAAAAATAAGTTAAATAAAATAATAAAAAACTAAATAAATAAAATGAATAAATAGAATAAGGTAAAATAAAATGAATTATAAAATAGATAAAAAATTAATTCAATAAAATAAAATATAATCAGTTAAAATATAAAAACATTAAATAATTTAGAAAAAAATTAAAAGAAAATTAAAAAATAATAAATAAATGTCTTTTGTTGTCACAAAATTTTTAGACGAAAAACGCAACCGACCCTACAGCTTTGGCTTAGGTAAACGCTCACTTCAGGAGCCGCCACCACACCGATACGGTTTCGGACTTGGACGACGTTAAATGCCGAGCTAAGGATACAAGCAAACCCACCAACAAGCACAATATCAAAGAGTCACCTAAATTCTAGGAACTTTTTTCTTTTGTAGCAGAGATGAAGAACTGAGCTGGAACTTTAAACAACTGACGTTTAGTGGCATTTGATGAAAAATAAATCAACGATGAAAAGTCAACCGAATTGCATACATATATATCTAATACTTTAATCATTTATTTCTTGTCAACAAAAACATTTGATTGTCTAATTTGAAAGCCATTTGGAACGGTGCAGGGCAAATATACCATACCAAGTAGCTTTCAAGTAAGTCTTAAGGGCAGAATTTTACTCTTAAAAAAATAATTGTTCGCAAGATACTAAGCTGAATCTTATGTTGGGGAGTATGCACACACATACATACTACGATGTCAAATAATCAAAATCAAATTGCCAATTTATGAATATAATTTAAGAAAAATTTCCATTATAATTTTATTTTACGATTACATACCAATATAATTACTAACATTATATACATGCATATACTACATATGTTATCTGTAATATACATAATAAATATAAATATAAATATAAATAAAGTTGTGTGCATGGGTATGTGTAAGGCATGCACTAAATATACATAATACTTAGTGGACACTGAATTGTTGTTGCTGCAGATGTATGAGTATAAGTATATATTAGCTTATACATATTATTTATTTATGTACTAAACAACTTTCAAATATTGTATTTATAAAACACAAAGCAAAAGCAAAGAAGAACGGCAATTAAATATTTAATAAAAAATAAAAAAATGCAAAATGAAGCAAAAAACTACAAAAAAAAAAAATAAAAATAATAAACCATTGAAACAAGTATTAAAGCAGAGTAAGCAAATATTTTAAAATATATGTAACTAATATGTGAATGTAAAAAAAATCTGTATGTATGTATATGTAGAGAGAGGTAACCTGATCTGTAGAAATGAGTAACAAACAAAAGAAAATAAAAACAAAAGTGCTAATCAGAGTTTAAAAAAATTAATTCAAATTAAAGGAAAATATAATTTTTTATTTTACTTGTATTTTATAATTTTTTTTTTTAAATATTTTATTTAAAAAATTATTTTTTGTGTTTAAGACTTGCCGTTCTGTGTGGTCAATCTGTTAAATAATTTATGAAAAATAATTATGAAACATTAATTTGTACTTCACACTTGTTTTTCTTAAAAACAATTACATTCATGAATTTCTTTATATTAATAAACAAACTGAGAACACTTTCAATGTTCTCATGGCACATATGTGATTAATTTTAATTTTTAAAAAGCTGGCAACACTCCTCTAAAATATGATATATTAATTCTGCAAAAAGGAATCCATTTTATTTTGCATTAAATTGAAGGCTTTATTTACCATAGTTGGAATTATCCGATTTATATCAAATAAGCCCGCCCGATAACTTCTCGCCACTTGGAAGGTAATGACAATTTGCCACAGACAGAAATAGATGGTAACCACTTGCAGTGATAAGATGAATGCATAAGAACCTCCCAACCAGCCATTTAGACCTTCTAGGGACTTGCTATCGATGTGTGTCGATGTGTGTCGTGGTCGGACGTTGTCCTGTTCCAACACAATTCCCTTCCTGTTGTCCATAGCCAGGCGCTTCTGGTCAATTGCTTCTTCAGACGCTCCAGTTGCTGAGAGTACAAATCCGAATTAAGAGTTTGACCGTGGATGAGCAGCTCGTAGTGAATGATTCCTTGCCAAACACAAAACGAAACCTTCCAGGATGGACATCATTTATGCCGCCTCACTGCCCTTCGATACCGACCGTTTTCATTGCAGTAAGTAATCAACTTTTCATCACCTTTCACCGTCTGCTTCAGAAACGGATCGATTTTGTTTCAAGTTGAGTCTGACGGTCAGACTCGACGATTTTCATTATTTTCTCGACATTTCCGTCATTGATCTTCCACACCATGGAGCATTTTTTAAATCAAAATTGCCGGGGTATGAAGACGAAACCACGTTATGCCTATGCCAATTTTGAAAATTCGACACCCAGTGTGAGCATCCTTTTTGTGGTTTGAATTACAATTCTCAAATGGTACCAAATATATTCTAATCTTAACTCAACTTTTCTCTTTTACGAGCTAAACACCGAATCATAACTCAAACCGAGTTCCTGAAATTTCGGCAAGATTAGTTCGAGCCACTGGGATCATCTAACGGTAGGTCCAGCTCGTTTACTGTTTCGACGTGTTCGGACTAAAGAGAAAGGAAATTAGGTGAGTGGATTTTGTTATGCGAGGTCTCATTGTATGCAGTGCATATGACAGATATGTCGGGGTCAAATCTGGATAGTTAGAAGTTAAGTCCCAGTCTTGATTGTGCCTGTATTACTCGCTTCTCTCCAGGCAGCTTCACCTCTTCATCTGCTATGGCTGCTGATTGGATTCCAGAAACACCATTAAATCGAAGAGACTTCAAGAAGGTGTTAACAGTATTTCGATCAAAACGGTTTTTGTACGAGAGGCTGAATGGAGTCCTTGTGGTCGAGTACTAACTTCCTAGGTGGTGTGGTGACTCGGCTTCGAGAAAATATCTGTTGAGGTTCTCTCTACGGCCACAAACCGTACTGGTAGTGCTCCGGAGACATCAGGAGGTTTCCTCTCACGGTCCTAAGGACAGTGTTCTGTCAAGCTTATAGATTCTTCATCTGCATTTCGCTAGTCCACGGCATTTAAATCGTAGCAGCATAATTCATGACCCCAAATTCTTTCTTCGTAAATGACTGCCACAACACAGTGCTCCTCAATTTAATGCTAAACTGTTGTTCGACTCAAATTTGAGTTTATTATACAAATCAAAATTTCTACTTTATTTATTGCACTAAAACTTTTAACATTTTTACAGAAGTTAAAAACCAAACAGAATGTTGAATTGAAGAAAATTATTTATTATACAGGCCGAACATACTTGTGCATTTTAAGCGCGTCAGTTTAACCCGAAGAGGTAGAGTTCTGTTGAGAAAGCAATTGCAGCAAGCGGAAGATTAAGAAGAAGGTGCGTCCTTCAGGGCGTAAGGACTCATCATCATCCTCTTCGGAGGATATGGATTCACTGCTACTGACTGACGAGTCACTGGTTTCGGACGAATCGCTGCTTGCGGACGAATCGCTGCTTGCGGACGAGTCACTTGCCTCACTTGGAAATCCGTTAACGATTCTTGCTGTTAAAAACAAACAAACAAAAAACAACAAAATAAGTATTAACTTTTTTTCGTATCGGCTTAAAACACTTACGTGGATCTATGGAGTATGGTGGGAAGTATAGCTCCTGCTCAGCGGCTACTGGAGCTACACCAGAAGCAACATGTACAACACCATTCGAGACCAGCGAACCTGGTGCTGCTAGGACAACACAAAGTGTTCCAACAAGAAGAAAAACAAAACTTAAAGCGATGTAGAACCTCATTTTCGGAAAATCACAATTCACAGTCTGAATTCACAAAATATTGTTGACTTATTGCCGCACTGGGTGTTGGTTATATAGCGATTCATGGCAATTAGCGCGCTGTTGATGAGCGGGTAATCAATCATATTTGTTGATAAATATGTAAATCGGAGTTAAAGTTTTAAGTCTCATTTCAAAACAGAACAAGGTTAAGGGTCTATTCGGCAAGTTCATTATGTTTTTTTTTTTGCTATAATGAGTGTTCTTTTCGAGAACAAGAAAAATATTACGCAATAGTGAACTTAGAAAAATAAGAGAGCAACTGAAGATCTCGAAATTCGCCACCGCGAGTTAATGGTTCGCTGAAGTCTGTGGAGGCACCTGGCCAAGTAGCGGAAACACAATAACTTTGTATTGTAAGCCGCATTTGTAACATGTTTATAGCATCCGATTCTTAAAAAATATATATATATGTGGTTGGTGCTCCATGAACATGAGTGTGCTCTCGAAAATTCCTTCGAGTAGTTGACGAACGATTTTATGAGGAGCTTATTGTATTTTCCAAGAACCGATTGTAGAAACACCTTCTTCACTAATTTTATATTTTTACCCTTAGAACCAATGACGCCCCATACAGTATCAAGTACTTCTACTTCTATATTGGCGTTGGCACCGCTTACGCGATTGTAGCCGAATTAATATTAGCGCGCCATTCCTCTCTTCTTTTCGCTGCCTGGCACCAGGTTACGCTCCACCTAATCCTTCCAACGAAGTGGAGGTCTTCCTCTTCGACTGCTTCCACCAGCGGGTACTCCATCGAATACTTTCAAGGCAAGAGTGCTTTCATATATTCGGACGGTATGACCTATGTCAATATCATCTTATAGCTCGTACAGCTCATCGTTCCATCGCCTACGGTGTTCGCAAAGGACCATAAATCGTTTGCAAAAAACTTTCTTTTGAAGACTCACAGAGCCGACTCATCAGATGAAGACATCGTCTACGTAGGGCCCTATGATGAGTGAGTTGTAGAGTTTGGTTTTCGTTGCCTTGTTAGTCCAAAGTAGCACCTGTTGGCAAGAGTGATTCTGCGTTGGTTTTCAGAAGAGAGACGAAATTTTCTACTCCTTCGAAGTTGTGACTGTCGACAGTGGAAGTCGCGAATGCGATGACTATTTGTGCGATGGCAGGAGATATTCCTTATCCAGTCTGTAGAAAGCAAAACTCAAGGCGCGGTTGTTGAGGCCAATAATGTCGATATTATCGACGTATGCCAGCAGCTGTACACTCTTATAAAATATTATATGTTCCCTATTCTGCTCTACAGCTCGTTTGTTTGTTTGTTTATTTGCCCAAAAAATATCATTAATATTGCATGAATTAGATTACATTTAGTACTTCTTAATTACTCCTAACAAGCTACATGCTTTTATCTAGGATTTCTAAATTTATTTATTTTATATTTATAAACGCTTTAAACAAATAAGCCTTTATAAATTAACTTATTTCATATATAATTATATGATTAATATCTTATATTTCTTCAAAAAGGGCATGAAAAGAAGGATAATATGATGAATTAAAACAGTGTGAATGAGTACTTATATTTAATGACTAATTATTAACTAAGTAAAAATTGTTCTAAAAGAGTAGGCTTATTGTTAACAAATTTTATTTTGAAACGATATGTTGATCTACATTATAAACCAAATTATCACTTATATCATAAGAATTGTATTTTCTGTGATAAAATAACAGTTTTTTATCTTTGTACAACATATCATTATTGTTTAGGATATTTATATATATAGGTGACAAATATTTTGCAACAAGAGGATACTCAATATTGTCTTGTTTATTAATGTACGTTTTAATGCGTTCGTTCTCTAGTAGATTCAGTTTATTTAAGAACCGTAGTGCATTATCCATAAGATATTTGTCTATTCGAGTTATTTTACATTTTTATATAGGATTTTGTTTGATGTTCTTTTTCTAAATAAATCGCCGTCATGATAAGGTTCACGGTTTACGCCAGTACAAATTCTTAGAATGTACCGTTCGAGAATTCGTAATCTTTCCATTTGGGCTGAGGAGATACTAAACCATATTGGGAAAGCATATGTTAAGATTGGTCGAATTATTTGTTTGTAAATACTGATTTTTATAACCGATTTTAAATCTTTTGCACGTTTTATAAGGCTTATATAAGAAAAGAACATATTTTTTGCCTTTTTAATCACATAGTCCAGGTGGGTTTTGAAGTTGAATTTACTTTGCAGTATAACGCCTAAGTATTTAAGTTCTTCTTTAACCGGGATACGATTTCCATTTATTTGAATATTTGCTATAAAAGTTCTAGCGTTTGGATAGAGATATTTATGAAGCCCTTTGATAGTAGTGCATTCACATTTTGAAACATTAATTTTCAATTTCCATTTGGAGAAAAAATTAGATAATGTAGTTAAATATTTGTTTATCATATTATTCGCTTTTTTTGCATTCTGTAGAGACCCTAATATCATAATATCGTCAGCATATGTAAGGGCAATAACATTTGTATTGTCACTTGGTGGATCGGGTAGGTCAGCTAGTAATATGTTATATAGAACCGGACCTAGTAGAGACCCCTGTGGGACTCCTGCTGCTACATCTCTTGTCATAGAGTTGCTATCATTCATACTAACAAAAAAACTTCGGTCATTTAAATAATTGAGGATAATACGACTTATATTTATGTCAAATTTAAATATCTTATACATTTTGTATATAATACCCTCTTTCCATGCCGTATCAAACGCTTTTTCTATATCAAGACTGACTGCTATAGTGGCCCAGCGGCGATTAAGGTTAGTGCATATAAAATCACTCAATAAGGTTAGTGCGTGATTTGTTGAATGAAAGTTGCGAAAACCAAATTGTGTGTCTTTAAAAATTTTGTTTTTGGTTGCATGTGTTTTAATTTTTTGTAATAGAAATTTTTCGAATAATTTTCCTATATTAGATAATAATGAAATTGGCCGGTAGCTGCACTCGGATTTTGGATCAGATTGTGGTTTCTGGATTGCTACAACTTTAGCACATTTCCAAGTTTGGGGAAAATACCCTATGTTATACGCATGATTAAATAGAATAGCTAAATAACGCCAAAAATAGGAGTATGTTTTACGAATTAGAAAATTTGATATTTGATCATCTCCTGCACTCTTCTTGTTGTTAAGTGAATATATTGTTGTTTCGATTTCATCCGCATTTGTAAATTGCTTGTAACTATTTAACTCTAGTTCAGTGTGAGGTACACTCGTTTTGTCGATACGACTTATAAGGGCCTCTCCATCAGCTGTAAGGTATTTACTGAATCTGATTATTGGTAACCTGTGGCTAGCAATATCAGAAATTGACTGTGTGATATTTTCGTGAAAATCATGATCCCCAATATTTAAGTCTTGTTTATGCACTTGTTCAAATCTACAAGCTAATGCGTTCACCTTATCAATTTCACTCTTCATAACAAAAGAGCCATCTGATTGATGAACACCCCCATCGAAGTCTAAAAGATTTGCATCATCTATTACGAGATCTGGTAATTTTAATCTATTATTAAGCCCACATAAATTTTTAATTTTTTTGTAGGTCTTGTTGTTCATACGAATTTTCTCAAAATATTTTTTCCAGTAACTCTCTTCATTTAAACGAATCCGATCAGATATAATTTTGCTAAGATTACGAACTGTTGCTATAAGTATTTCTTTGCGTCTTGGATCTGTACATCTGAACACTGCCCGACGCAATTTTTTTTTTTCTTTGATAAAGTCTAATATTATTGATGGTAGTGAAATTAAACCTTTACTACGTATTTCTATCTTAGGAACTGCTTCTGAATTTATGACTTTTTCCCATGCAACATTCAAATGAGATATGCAGTTGTCTATTTCAGTCGTGGATGCAACACGGTCTAATGCCAAGCAGTTGTTTTTTAACATTGCAGATAGCTGTTGATTTAATTCATCACTGTTAATATTCTTATAATCAATTATTTTTCGGGGAGGTTGTCTGAGTATATCATTTTGTGATCTATCTAAACAGAGTTCTATTGCCCTGTGATCAGACTCAAAATAATGTGTCCGTAGCTTGCAATAATGCTCACTATCATTGTCAAAGCAAACGGTGACAAAAGGAGACACTATAAATAAGTCTATAAATGAATTACATCCACCAGAGGTTCTAGTTGGATTAGCAGTGGGTAATACTTTAAGTAAAGGGCATTCAGAGAGCCAATTAAATAACACTCTTCCGTTTGTGTTTGTGCAATTATCGCCCCAGCTGGGATGACGTGCATTTAAATCCCCACCCAAGATAATTTCATTGGTTCTTGCACTAAGTGCATTAAGGACCTTTAATAGATCACTAGTGCATAATTTGTCTGTTTTACTTAATCTATTATACATAGCTGCGATAGCTATACGATTTCCGTCCGAGGTAAGTAGTTCTATTGCCGTAGTTTCAAGGTATGTAGTTCTTTCTACTTCGATCCTATTGTATTGAAAATTTTCTCTAATGAATATGCCAGTTGATTGGCTATTTTTGTTGTCAGTGTGAGTCTTCATTAGTTGAGGAACATAGCTGTAATTTCGAAAAGAGATGTTATGTTTATCGCTCAGCCGAAGCTCAGCCGCTAATACTACATCAGGCTTATGCTTTTGTAAGAATAGATTAAAATAATGTCTTTTTTGTTTGGATATTAACGAATTTACATTTATAGCTATACATTTTAATTTATGTCTGTCCATTGCTATTGTTGTTTATTTTTAAATCAATAAATAAATTAAACAAAGCCGAGGCTCTTTCTTCATCGTTTTTAAGTTTATTATAATGTAAGGAAAACTCGCCAATTTTTTGCATACATTTTGTAAATTGACTACCAAAGAGACGAAGACACTCACCATTCAATGTATTGAATTGATTGGAAGTAGGGTTTTCGCTATAGTTAGAAGAGCATACTTCTCTTGTATCAATGACTTTTGTTTTCATTACATTCTCTTTAACCTTAGCTGCATAAGAGATTGTATTTCTACAACTAGACTCGTGTACCCTATTTTGTGTATGAGTTGGTAAATGCAATCTCTCTTTCTCTATCATACGAATTTCTTTTCGTTTGATAACTTCAATGCGAACTGGACAGACATTAGAATTAGCAGAGTGCCCTTCTGTTTCACAATTTGCACATTTTAAAGGAATACCTGTTCGCTTCATAATTTTCCCTGTTGCTTGATCTGTATAAATATATTCTTGATTATTATTTTCTTTAATTGGTATTGTGCAATTCCCAGGGCCGTGGGATTGTGCACATTTTACACACCTATAAGGCATATGACAATTACTCGCAACATGCGAGTACCTTTGGCAATTTTTGCATTGGATGGGTTTTAGTGGCTTAAGTTTTTCTAGATTTATTTTACAGTTAAGAATATATTTAATTTTGTAAAACTCTTCAATATCTGACCTTTTACTTAGTTGGATTAGCCAATTGCTATTTTTAAATTTAGACAGATTTATAATTTCAATTTTCAAATTTAGTTCACCAATGTATTGCAGTATTTCTTCACGTTCATAGCTTTCACATAGCTTTTTGATTACAATAGATATCGGTTTCTCTTCGATTGGAGTATATGTGTAAAATTTAGCACCGCTTTCAATAAGGTAAGCTTTGATTTTTTTATAATCATCATAGATAAAGGTGATAATATGTAAAGAATTTCTATTAATTACATTATACACAAAGTTTTTATGGCCTAGCAATTGAAACAATCTATTCGTCGTTTCTTTTTGTGTCAAGTTAAAACACACAAATACAGGTGGTCTACTCTTTGTTTTGGTTGATTTGCTGCTGTGGGAAGTTCTCTTGGAAGTATGGACAGATGGCTTTACTGAGCTGGATGAGAGAACTTCCTGTCTCATTATTTCTGTTAGTGATTCTCCGTTATGTGTATTGCTTGGTAAATTTTGGGAGTCTTTCTCTCCTTCATATGCCGTCATGGTATTGTTCCTATAAATGACGGAATCCGTTGCAATTCCAGTATTTTCAGTGATCATTGGGCTGGTCTCACTTAAAATCTCGATTTCATTTGAGTTGTTGGGTTCGATATTATGCGCTACATTCTGAGTTGGTTCTCTGATTCTATTATCTAACTTGTTTCGCAATGAGACATTTTCTTCGCGCAGGGTTAAGAGTTTTTGTTCGTAAATCATTCTTTGAATTTCTTTGTCCATTTGTAGTTGGGATAATGCTTTTTTTAGTTCTTCCATTTGAGAAACTAACGATTGCAAAGTAATATTTTGATATAAATTATTTTGGGTTTGATGGTCTACGTTATTTTCTAAAGATAAAGAACTTGAATCCGCTGATTCTGAGTTTCTGGACTTTTTGCGCCTTTTCTTTGATGCTGACCTCTGGTTTCCAGCGGTCACTTCACATTCTCTTGAACTGCGCGCACTATTTGTAATGTCTTCACTCATCATTTCCACAATCTGCACATGATTAATATCAAAGTTTTCGTTATGGTCTTTCTTATTGTCTTTATCACTCATCTTGTAATTTATAATTAATTACTTGGGGATAAATTATAAAAATTGTAACTTTTTAAGTTTAACAAGCTTATGTGATTTTACGACAAAGTTATTATCACGTCTCTCGCTCGGTGTACACACGACTTTTCGGTTTCGGCAACAAAATGCGACCCGCTCTACAGCTCGTATTATTTTCTCCAACAATAAGTTAAAATTGTCACATGATAAGTAATCACACTGTCTAAAACCTCGTTTCGTATCGAACGGCTCCGAGAGTTCCTTCCCGATGCTGAAGGAGCTGTTTCTGCCGCTTAAGGTTAGTTTAGACAGCCGTATAAGTTTTGCGGGAATAACGAATTCAGACAAGTACTGCTGCCCAATAAAAAGGGAGACCTTTCATGAAAACTTCAAATTTCGATGACGACCAAAGCTAATAATTTCAATGTAAGCCTGGAACGGCCGACCTCTTAGTTATAATACCGTAATACAGTTGAAAGATATAGACCAGTCTATATATCGCAAAATTGCAATAGACGGTAAATAGCGCCGATCGAAACAAATCCGATGACCGAAGCTAAATGGGATTAGAAGCTGACCAGAAAACTATCGGAGATTTATTTAAATATTTTAATGTAAAACACGTAAATCAACTAAAGTTCAACTATAAGGATTCCAGCGCACATATAAATATAGAGAAATGAACTTGCTGGTAAATTAGCAAAAGAGATGACAGCAACCATACTAATAGAACCGGAATCTTCTCTCCTATAGGTAATGACACACACAAAGTATAGTAAGGATCAAAGGAGAAGCTCCTTAAAATTGTTATTGATGTAATTTCGTGAGCCTCGGACAGATGAAAGAGCTCGAATGAGGTTATAACACAGAGAAATTTCAACAACTAATCACACTCAGTAGAAATAACTTAAGAATAATTACAAATATGTTAACAAGACACCCCACCATACGCACAAGCTAGGCCTAAGTCCCAACTACAATTGTAATATGGAACCAGGAACATCTAATAGAATTGTTTGCAGCCCTAGAAATATCGATTCCAGACGGAGAGCGCAATAGGCATAAGTTCAGAATGGACATCATCTACTATATTTATCCATCTTTCTATCAATCTCTTCAGAAAATACGCCAGAAAAATAACTCTCATAGCGGGCGTCTTGACGGAACATTGTTCGATGGGAATTCATGCGGTAAGGCTTGAAATTTTCAGTTCCAGATCACATACGTACGTATACCAGCCCGAAGGAGTTAACAGACATCAGACAAATTTGTAGATTTGTGACATGAACTAAGTGATTCGCTTAATGGGTTGTGGTCTAGCAAACAGGATATATATATTTTTTTTTTACTCTTTTTGGCATCACAACAGATATGTTTTATGTGTCTATGTGGCATTCCTTTGAGTTGAGTTAATGTGGCTGCTGATCACCACCAGCACACTTAAGCCACTGTAATACCGCCGAAGCTAGTGCCTTCACCTTCTCAAATGATCGAAACATTTCGTGTGCCTTACAAAGGCAACGAGATTTCCAATATTCGCTTAGGCCAACTCAGCGTGGCAGTTAAAGAAGTGTTTCCCAAGAAAGATGTTTCACGGTATCCCCTTAGGGTTTGTTACTTATACCTAATCTATGTGATCGAGCACTGCATATTTTCTAAGGTAGCTTTTATAAGAACTTACAAATTCTTCAGAGGTTATTATATTTCGTCGTCCTTAATGACATCCCTCCTTCATGCAATGCTCTTATGCCAGCGCTTTTATTCCTATTCTTAAAAAATATTCCTCAGCCAGGCCATAGCCGAGCTCCTCTTCCAATTTGTAGTTTTTGTGTCTTGATGTTTTTCCAACAAACGGAGGGACCAACAGTTTATACTAAGCCGCCTCCGCCACCCGGCTGATGGTTTTTTATTAGGAGCCTTTAATTTCATATCAGAAAAATACTCGGAGGGGTTGACATTCCCTGCCGAGGGGCGTCTGCAATTAGAAAATCTATAACTTTTGGCCTTCCGAATAGCAGTACGCAATGCTAACCACTCGTCTACTGCAACCGACTGCTTTACTCTTCTCTCCATGTAATCGGAAGAAGAATATTCAAGCTTGAGGAAGTTTTACCTCAATATATGATGCTATGCAGTGTCGGCAATCCCCGGCTCTCTTCATATGTCAAACAAGATAAGAGGTTATGTGCTTTCGGCAAAAGCAGGCAGAGGAAGGGAAATACCTGTATTTCGGTGAAAAGATCAGATGGAGAGCGACCTGGTTTCATTTGGAATTTCCAACTGGCGCCAAACAGCGAAAATAAGGGACAATAGCACCATCCGCCAATTAAGAAAAAGGTTTGATTTCGGCATTTATTTTATTTGATTTATTTCTCTTTTATTTATATAATATCTGTATATAGTGTAATATATTTTCTCTTGTTCTTATTCTTATATATGAGAGAAATTATAGAAAGTAATTGATTAAAATGTGATTGGGAAAATGACAATGAAAGAATTATAAAGAAACTCTCTAGGGGTTCTGGTATAAGAGGCTCCTTTTAGATGTTCATTTTGCTGGTGGGCATCAAGGTTGTCGTAAACAGCTGCTGTAAATAACTTAAATAAATAAATATTTATTTTATAAATTTTTTAACAGTTCGTCTTACGGGAGAAAAGTTATTGTATTTTTGATTAGCCGGAGATTGTGCAGCAGCGTTGTTTTCGACGGAACCGGAAGGATTAACTCCTGGTCATAATCGCTCTAAAGTACGAAACATAATATTTATATGTACAGATATATTTGTGGAAAAAAGATCAGTAAAAATGAATACGATTTACTCACAATTAGAGGAAATTGGATTTCCAGAGAAGTTAAGGGGAGGCACTGTGTAGAAGTGGCAAATTAGAAATGAAATAATATAACTGAAGAAATTTTTACACTCACAGATTGGGAAAGGGAATGGGCGGGACGGGGGAGACGGGCGGCCAGGAAAACCACCAGTAGCGTTCAAAAGTGGGACTAAAGATTACACAAGTAAAAGAAAGGTTATTTGAAAATGTATAAATTATTATAAACTTACATCGAAAAGGTCTAAAGAAAGGAAAAGGCCTGAACGGCGGTCTGAAGGGACCGGGTCTGAAAGGACCAGGCCTAATAGGTGCTGGTGCAGTGGTTGAAGGTTCAGTTTGTTGAGGTTCATCGCTAGTGCTCTCTTCTACATAAATAAAAATATATATCCAATAGCTGAAAAATTATTAGTATTTAATTATCTTACCTTCTTCTTCGGATGCCGCTTTTGTCTCTGGCGTAAAGATCAGTACAACCAACACCATGGCGATGGCAATAGTTATTAAATTATACAACTTCATTTTTAAACAATGTTAATCGACGAACTCACTCTTTTCGAATATTAAATTGCATTTGGAAAACATAACAATTTATATACAATTTACTAACGATTTCCACCTATGACTCACCTCTTAACGGTATTAGTGTAATCAATCAATAATATGACAATATTTTGTAAAAACAAACTTTGGAATTTCCCGTTGAGAGTAATTATTTTTGTAAACATCACAATACAGTGTTTTTCCGGCAGAAAACAGAAAAAAAAACAACCACCAAGGGCGGAACGATAGGAGAGCGTACTAATCGCAAACTTCCTTTGCCAACTAATAAATGATTTTCAACTGATGATGAGGTGAATTTTAAAACCAAATAGCAGACTGAATGTACGGTGCTGGAAAACCCACAAAACAACCAAAACCAAACCCTATTCAATCTTGAAATCCTTATGAAATTCGTGGAAACCCTGATGAGCGAGTCAACACTCCCCGGTGAAATTTCCTAAAACCATTACTTTTACGATTACAACAACAACAACTTCTAGGATCTAATCATTTTGCAACCAGACGGTGAATTAAACGTACCGTCTACAATATGTATGTATGTATTTTTTGAATGTTTAAATGAGCTTCGCAACATTCGTTCAACGAAGCACGTGTTGCTTTGCAACAGCTGACTGTCACTGTGATTGTGACTTGGTCAAGCGAGAAGAAGAAGATCGCAGGTGATATAAACAAAAGATGCATTTCGGTTAAAAATTTATAATTTTATTGAAGTTTTTACTTTTTTTTGGCTTTGAAGTTTTTACAAAAATAATACAATGGAAGACGGTGATGAACTGGTTAATAATACAAATTTGGTTTGTAAAGTGTGTGGAGAACAACAATTTACATTGCGCGAAGGTTTCTTCTACTGCCAAGAATGTGGTACGAAGCAGGAGCAAGTGCGTGCAGTGGAAGTGGAGCACGAAGAAGATTTCACAGAGGTTAAAAAGTTGAAAAAACAAAAAATCAAGAGCGTCAAAGCTGAAAAACGTATGTAGCAAATACAATAAATGGTATGAATATATAATCAAATTCAATTGTTGAAAATTTTTCAACGCCTTCAACAGCGAACCTCACCTCATGGGAATGTTATAATTATATACTTCGAGGTCTAGTCAATGATTTACTATCATTTGGTGCTAAAGAAGAGCTGAAATTAATGACACTTCAACTATGGGCTGCTTACTTGCGACGCAATGAAGTAGCTTTTTTCAGTAGAAAACGTGTTGAACTACCAAAATTAGGCGTCCGCTACTTGCAGAGGTTGGTATACAAATGAAAGTAAACTTCTCTTATAACAAACTCTGCGCTTATATTTTATTATAAACATATCATATTAAATTATATTCAATTGATAAAGGGATGCATCTGCATTGTACAATCATGCACTGCAACGTCGCGCACAAAAACGTAAGCGACGAAGAACTGATGACTCTGGCACGTCTCTAGTAAGTAGCGAAACGGCTAGCAATCGTGCATTTCGAAAAAGTCGACGAAAATTGGATGAATCCACTTATAGTCTACACTCATCTATGAACTCTACTGATTATTCACAAACATCATGCTCTTCGGCGAATACCTCAAGCACTGGTACTACAGGACGTGCAATCAAACTACAATTTTCAGCACGCGCACGAAAACAACTTAAAAAAATGATGCCAGTAAAACACATTGAAAAACATGCCCTAGATGCTGAAGGCAATTTAAAATGTCACAGCTTGAAACCACTAGCTAGATCCATTAACCGCACAGAGCATGCTTTACTTACAATGAATACTCGACAAATCTATACAATTATAGCTATTGCATTGAACTTAATCGGCGATGATATTCAATTGTGCGATTTGGTGCGATTCATCGACGAGGAGCATGTTAGCACAAAAAATGTATTGGAATATTTTCCGGAGAATATTGCACCGCATTGTAAACAAATTTTACAGGAAATACAATTTTACAAATATCCAACCAAATATAGCGATAAGGCACTACGTGAACACATTGAACAACTATCGAAGTTTATAAATATTAAGACATTCAATCAACCAGACTTGATTAAGCTAACCGAACGATATGTTACTGAATTAAATTTGCCTGCAGATATAACAACTTATATTGAACGGTTAATAAATTTACTACCACCACATATGCGTACACGCGTTATGTATGTCTATCCGGCCTATGAGGCGCGTGCGATGGCATATATCATATTTGTATTGAAATTATTGTTCGGTTTGGATGGTCACACCGAGAAGCAATTATCACATGCTGCCCGAAAAACGAATCAAAGTCTACATAATCTGTCTTTAAAAGGGCGCGGCTCGAATGCCAATCTCACACCATTGCCATCACTTCTTGTGTGGGATGATTGGGTGGAATTTATAGAAATGCGCAAAGTAATAGTTGCGCATTATAACTCGAACTTTTGCCGCCAGTTCAAACAATGCCAAAGCACCGCACAAATTTTGGAAGAAATGGAGGAGGAACAGCGTACACGAATGGAACAAGCCGCACATACTATAGAAGGTGACGCAATGGAGAATAATTCAAAAATCGCTACTATGCATCGCATATTCCAACAGTTTGTGGACGAACTTAACAGCACATTGCCAACGGAGCGCAAAGATGTTATAAAATTTCCACCCAGTCTAACTCCAGCACATTCATATTTCAAACGTATACTATTACATTGCTCCAATGCCGGTGAGAATGCTACTTACAAGATACCCGAATTTATGCGTATCGATTACATGCAGCGCACCTTAGCGCCATATGTACATGCGAAGGAGTTGAAGGAATTCTTCAATCAACACAAATGGCAATTGGATGTGCGACGTGTGCCATGCGCCAAAGAGCGCAATTGTGTTGGCTTATTTCGACCATCTGCCGAAAATAAGGGGCGTGTAAAACATGATATAGGCAACAAGAAGGCCGATTTTGATATAAGCGAAGAGCAATGGTTGGCAACCATTAAAGAAGAGGAACTTATTGAGGAGCTGGAATTTAATACACAATACGCTTACTACGAAAAGAATTACGTAAAAAAGATGCAGGTTGAAGCCATGAAACGACAACAGGCTGTAAATGTTGCACCTTTTGATGCGCCGAACGTAAGCATAGAGACTGATTTAAATAAAAATCAAGTATGTAGAAAATCCTTGTACTAGAAAAATCTTAAAGAATAATAAATTCTTGCATTTTAGGTGCCATGTGTCGGCGATGTAGATAATGAGAATTCTATACCATCGCCGCCCGTTCAAACATTAACAGCAAATGATGAACTTGATGTATCCAAATTACCGTCGATTAGTGCTTTTAGTGAATGTGATATGGAACCAATTAAAGTATCGAATTTGCCTCTAGCCTTAGAACCACGCCGAGGACTAAACCGCGTAAATCTGTTCGCTGAGCTCAGTGATGACGAGGAAGACATAGTAGAGAGTAGTGAAGTTAATTCTAATATGACTGAAGATGAAAATGAACGTAAATGTACATTACTCACTTCCAATATGGATTGTTGGACTCTATTGGGTTATTCACATAATCTAACTAATTGTCAGAAGAAAATATTAGAAAGTAAATTTCCACGTACATTCTTTTGGTTACTCGAAACTTGCGCACAATCCATCAATGTCGATTGGTGTATAATCTATGAGGAGCTAATAACCATAGAGTTAATGTTTGCTTATGGCATTGAGGATTTGAATGAGTTTCAAGATTGTGTACGATTTAAATATAATAATCCTATTAAAGATTTTAATATGTTGATTAATTCGTACAGAGAATTATGGTAAAAGTGAATTTTATAAATTTCCATGTTATGTTTTCTGCATTTTTCTTATAAGCGTTAAGTTTACAAGTAGATATTTATGTTATGTAATGTGAAATAATAAAATCACAAATATTCCAACTACTCTAGTAGTTTGCTTTTAATCGGCTTTACTGTATTCTAACTTTATTTGTATATCAATTTCTCGGGTGTTGTATACCAAATATTGCATATGTATATACTATATAGTCATACATATGTAAATACGTACATAATTGTTTTGTCTATTATCAAGTTTAACAAATTGTTGCTAGTAAAGTCGATATTTATTAAATTAATTAGTTAATTTCTAACATAATTTATTTTGTAAATCTTTAAATTTGCAATTGTACACCAGCTGTGACAGTGTGGCATTTGTTTATTTTAGTCTAATATCTCTTAATGAACCGCATTCATGTACATATATATAAATACGTATATGCATACATATGTATGTTTGATGTGTAACGTAAAATGTACACAAATCGTAAAAAATCACAACAAACCGGAGAGTAATTAAAACAGAAATTTTATAAATAACGCAGCGTAGAACCAGGCAACAGTTGATCTCTTCTTTACGGGAGAGAAAGCACCAGAGAGAAAGAGTAAACTTTTAAATTAACAAAAAAAAAGTGCAAGGAGAGATCTGCCCATACGTGAAGAATGTGTTTTTTTTTAATGTTTCTTGTTGTTGTTGTGAGTAAAGGTGCTGTCAGACAAAGCATTTATATATATTGCTCAAACGGATTTTGTTGTTAAAAAATTTTATTTAAATTCCGCCATGTGAACACTGAACACTGTGAAACCAATTTCTGGCACTTAAATTTCCATAATTGCGGGAAGAATTCCCGCCTGCACTCATTCAACTATCGGCAAATTGCATACCGAAATTGAATTTTCGAATTTTTGCTTTTCTTGTAAGCGCTGTCGAATGCTTTGAGCATCATTGGAAAAGATTTTAAATAAATCAATTTCTAGAAATTTAAGTAGTCACATCTAGTCTGACCGCTCTTGAAATTAGCTTTCGAGAATTTTCATTTTGACACACATTTCGATATTTAATGATGCTGATTAATTTCTGTGTCTGACAGCATCTTAACTGCGACAGTGACAAGTAGGTGACGATGCAACTGTATGGACGCACAATAATAACCGAACATATAAATATGTTTACCTACATATCTAAGGCAAAGATTACACTGTGTTACAAAATTATTATTTTTTTATTTTTTTATTTTTTATTTTAAGTTAAGCTATAAAATCTTTATTATAAAAAATTATTTTGTAAATTTTTTAGCTTAAAACCAAATAAAATCGGTGTATTAAAAGAAAAATTGCAAATTTAATTCAGGCAACAAAAGAGATATAGTAGAAATTACAGCTGTTTTGGAGATCATCACAACTCCTCATCAGCACACTTATGGCAGCGCTCGAACCATGGCTTCTAAACGTATAACGGGTAAAGAATTCTAATATAAATCACACTATAATCCTTTAAAAATCTTCTATGCATGATTTACTTGCTCTTTCTTGACGAATTCAAATCGGTTTTGTTAGCCCAATTTTATTGGAGGTCTATACCGTGCACACCGTTTCAACGATACACAACGATCAACCTACGCTACGAAGTTATTGTAGAGATTTCCTAAACACCTCTCGTTCTGGTTCTTTCATTGCTTTGGTCGCCACTTGTTCCATTCCACTCATATATGTAAAACTTCTTTAGACGATAGACATTGATGGGATTGAGTGAACCCCTTGTCTTAATCAATCAAAAGTAAAAAGCCCTTATTTTTGCTCCTCTTTATTAGTTCTCCTCGTGATCTTCGCAAGGTGTGAAGATCTTCTCTTAAGCGTGCTGCATTATATACTTGCAGGGTTGGAGTGCTCCCAGTCGTGCGGACATCATAACCTAGAAAACTTAGCTGCTGCCTCTTTACACGCTGAACATTGTTAATATCAATATTTTACTCGTACAGCTCTTCGTTTCTCCGTCCTCCTTCTTCCGCTACCAGTTGTAGCCCAAACCTCCAGGCCTCTACATTTATAGCACAACAATATGATTGGCGACTAGTAGAGTTTGGGTCTTATTCATCGAAAGAGAATTTTACTGGTATCTGCTTTCTATTTCAAAGCTGCTGTAAATCTTCATAAAACAAAACTTACGAGAAAAATCTCCAAACCAAAAGAAAATCTATGCATTATGGTATCATGGCAGCCGCGGTAGCTGAGTGGATAGCATGACCACAGCGGGTTAGGGGCTCAAGAATTTACCCGTGGTAAGGCATGCCTGTCGTAAGAGGCGACTAAAATCCAATAGTTCCCGCGACAGTCGGGTCTTTATACCGGATCGACCCGGATTTTTATCCGGCCAAGGACTGTCACTCCCGCAATATTCCCCGAAAACCAACTCGGGGAATAATTTGCGGTTACAACAACAACAACAACACCAGTGGATAGAATTGCGTACCGCCCGGTTCAAATCCCGGTGCGACCAGCATCCAAAAGTTATAGAAAATTAATTTCAATAAAAAATTAAGTTAACTTTCATAATTGCGGTCGCCCCTTGACAGGGCGTGTTTTTCTGACATGAAATAAAGACGGCTTAGTATAAACTGTAGGTCCCCCTGTTTGTTGCAAAAATTTCAAGACGGAAAACCACAAATTGGAAGAGGAACTCTGCCGAAAATCGCTTCAGCGGTTACAAAGAGTTAATTACATACATATATGTATATGGTATCAACCGCGGAAAGCATAAGGGAGATATGTACATAACCTTCAAATATTTTGGCATTTCAGTGAATATAAGATCTAAGCCATAAGACCAAAGCTATAAAATAAGCGTTCACTTGTGGAAACTGTAGGGTTTGTGAATATTTTGTATTAAATGTAAATACATACATCCATCCGACAGAGTACCCTTGAGGGCTCAGGCTCAAATGGAAACGACTACAAATTACGTCTTCTCTCCAACACCACGTAATTAGGTGTTAATCGAATATTTTATGGATAACACTTCCATTTCATAGAGGAAAAATTAAGTTCGGCACAGCACAGTGTTTTCAGAGTACACTGTATAGTGTGTGGTATATGAGTATTTCACGATGAGTAACGGACAGTGGCAGAGCAAAGTTAGATGCTCACCGTGCCGGCCTCCATATGTATTTAAGTATGTTTGTATGTATGTACCTACCGCAGATAGACTGGCTAAAGAGTGTCTTTGAATAAAATAAAACATTATCGATGTTGTTGTTGCTGTTGTTTTTATATACATATGTTTTTGCCACATTGACACTAGTATTGGTATTGGATATTTGTGGTATTAGCACCGACGTTCAGACGTTTTGTGTGTTTTTATATTTTCGAAAAAATCAGTTTCGTTGGCAATGCGACGCGCGAAACAACAAAAGCCGCTAAAGTAAATATACATATTTAGAAGGCGAAGTAAGCAAAGGAAGTACATACATACATATATTCACACAAACTTATTTATTTATATATATATTTGTATGTATGTATGTACAAATCGTATACGAGCAAACGCGTCGAGTATGTGCGTATAAGTTAAAAAGGAAGCAAAAAATATATGCACGTATGTATGTACATATGTAAAATATAAAAATTTTTGTACGCATAAACAAGTGGCGCAAGGCTGGGAGAGTGGGCAGGGGGCAAGCAATTATTGGAGGCCGAAAACATTTTACAGACAAAGTAATCTCATGGGCCTGTCGTGCGTTAGAGGCCGAGAAAAGTGCATAGAGAGAAAAGGCGAAGCGCTGCTGACATGCTGACACCAGCAGCAACAGGCCAAAAAGGAAGTGAATTGGTGGAATTTTCGAATGTGCGGTTCGTATGAGAAATAATTGTTTTTGAGAAAAAAAAAACGAAAACTGAAAAGTTTCGATATTTATTTTTCTGCGAAGGACAATTGTGTTCTGAAATCGGCGCATTTTATTATAAATAAACTAGTGAAAATAAATATAAATTAAAATATCTATAAATACACAACAATAAGCGATGGATTTGTGAAATTACAAATATTTTGACTTCCGGTAGTGAGATTTTTTTCTGCTCTTAAATGGGAATTTTAAGTTTGTTAATTAAAAAAAATTAAATGGCAAAAACTATTACGAAATTAATTAAATGAAAATTAAAACTAAAATATTTGAACTACTCAAAATTTTTAATATTAAATATTTAAACAAAATAGATGCTCGTATGCATGTATCACGGCTTTTTTTTATTAAAAACATTAATTTGGTGTTGTGAACAAATTTTATTCAAAATATTTAAATTTTTGATAATTCAAAAATGTCTCGAACAGCAACAATGGACCAGATTTTACACTGTTATTTAATTTTTTTTTGGATTTCTTTTTTTTCAAATAAATATTAGGTGTAGTAAAAAGAAATCCATTATTTTTTCATGAAATTGACGGCTTTAATTTTTACATTTCGTATCCAGCTTTATTCAAATAGTTTCAAACGGTTTTTGTTTTTGCAATTTTTAGCTCATGGGCAATCGAAACATTGCTTGCATAACGTCGAACTCGACAATGTCCATGATTTTATCGGCATTTTCGACAATTAACCTTCCACTCCGGGAAGCATCTTTTTGATCAAAATTACAGGAATGAAACCGAAGTTGTACACGATTGACTGCAACAGCATCAAGACAAAAAAACTTGCGATTTCGCTCTTATCGAAGCAAAACTATAAAATATAGCGCATTTTCTGTTAACTAGTATCAATCTTTGACACACGCTCAAACAAAAGTGATTTAACCAATCACAAAACTGCCAAAAAAGCATTTTTAGTACGAAAAGTCTTTCTTCTAACGCCAACTAGCGGTACCCGATCGGACTTTTACCACGCGATTACAGACAAATAACGTCATCTATTGGAGAAATTATGCATTACTTTTTTACTACACCTAATACAAAGCCATTTCATAAAAGAGAACTTTGTTAAGTTTTGTGATAAAATGATTTTATATTTTTATTATTGTTTTTTTTTTTTTTAATTTTCTTATTACAAAATACTTTTAAAACATTATAGAGCCCAAACGTCTGCTGAGACCAGACTTTTGAATCACTTTATATTCCTATCTTGTCGCTTTTTTCGTAAGAAAGTGTCGTGCTTAAGAATTTGTGATCATAATACCTGGAGTTAAAGATAATTTTTTGAAAATTTACTACCCCAAAAATTTAACTAAACAATTTTAAAACTTAAAATCATATTTTACATTTCAAACAGGTAAACTTAGAAAAAAAACAATATATCTCCATTACGCTCAGTTTTCAAAAACAGTGCAGGGTTTATTTAAAAAAATTAAAATACAACGAAACACAACCATGGTGTCGAGCAACCCCGAAGACATAGCAATAAACCAAGAAAACACAATAACCGTATGAAAGCGAAAATAAGAACAGACATACATGATGAACATGCGTCTGTAATAGAAAGAGTGAAAACCGCAAAAACGGATATTTCAAATTCCAAATCAAAAGATGCAAACCAATATATATGTACATACCTACCTATATGTATATATATAAAAAATAGACTTAATTAAAAATCAATAGACCAACAATTATGAAAAGATGATATAAAATCATTAAACAAATTGCCAACAACAAAAACACACACTCACTGCGGAAGTCCACCACAAAAAGAATAAATATTAAAAGCGTGAAAAAATAAGCGCGAACGAATAATAAAAAACAAAATATACAAAACCAAAACCAAAGAACAAGAACCAATATATTATAAACCTTTAAAATACATACAAACATAGAACCATATTTATAGTCTGTAAATTTGTATATGTATGTATGTATGCCCAGCGTTTATCCATCCACGTGCTGTGTGTTTTCAATTATCGAACTGTGTTAATTTGTAAATCGCTTAAAACTAAATAAAATTAATGAAGACCGCAAATTACAAAATTTGTACGCAATAAAAGGAGCAAATACAAATAAAAACAAAAACTTACAAATACACTGGAAAAAAATTGAATGTAATAAGGCAACAAAATTAAGTTAAAAATTTAACAATTATAAAAATTTGGTGCACATTTTTTCACAATTCCCAAAAGGCCGACAATAATCAACAAACAGCTGTTTAAGGCCAAATCATAGCCGGTAAGTTAAGTGTTCATACAAACGTGTATGTATGTTTGTGCAAAAATATGGACAATTACCCGCATCTGTTACGTCATTTTATGCGCAATTTAAATTTATTTCTCAACCCAAAGTTTTAAAATTAATTTATGGTAATGTTCGAAAAATTTTTAAAAACTGAATTAAGAGTGTTTGAGAATTATGTCATGAGAAAATTAAAAAAAAAAATTGTTTCAACTGCATTTTGAATTTTCAATAACAAAGTTGCGTGTATTGGTAAAATAAATTATTTGAAATTCAGCTTTGTTGCTCTCTTTTCTCTGTTGGACTATTGAGTGTATGCATTAATTCGTGCGGTTTTTTCCGAAAATTAAGACTTTATTTTGAAAAAATTATTTTATTCGTCTGGAAACTGTTGCTTGATCAACTCCTAACACTTTTGCAAGTTCTTCTTGCGTCTGGCATGCATCTGCGTCGAGCAATGTCTCCAATTCTTCCTCTTGAAATTTTTTTGGTTGTCCGGGTCGTTCTCCGTCTTCTAAGTCGAAATTGCCACTTTTAAACCGTGCAACCCACTTTGGCCACGTTCGTTCGGCTACAGCATGGCCACCATAAACGTCTAGTAAAATACGATGGCTTTCAGTAGCACTTTTTTTCATTTTAAAGTAATGAAGAAGAACTCCTCGCCAAAACACTTTATCTGGTACAAGTTCTGACATTTTCAAATGAATGAAACAAATTGTTATTCACGCTAAAACAAATGAAATCTACTGAAAATGACGCGAAATGACAGTACCTTTGAAATGAATATAGCCACAGATGAATACGACGCGAAATAATACCAGTAGAGCCCTCTCTTCGAAAACCGTACGAATGAATGCATACACCTAATATTATATATTCTTCAAATCTTATAAAGGGTAGTTTTTAGACGTATGCTTTTCAATGAGGCCATACTTTTTGGGCCTCTTGATAGCTATTACTTGATTTATATTCAGTTTATCATAATGAATATATGTACCTTCTCCGAAACGAAGTTTGGAAATCGTGCAAATTTATACCCGAAATAATGGTTCGGTTCGTACAATACTGGGTCGACATAATCGCCCAGCAGAATCGGTAATTCGGGCAATCAAGGATCGGTTTCGCACTGGTCAATGTGCTCAGAGTCGCCGTACAGTGCGCATTCTCAGACACTATTGCTGCTAAGGATCAATGGCGTATCGAAGAATATCCGAATGAGTCCTTCCGCCAATGCGCGCAACAACTTTATGGAAGATTTTGCGGAAGGATATTGGTTTGCGCACTTCCCTAATCCAACTCGTGCAACAATTGAAGGCGAAGTACGATTTAGCGCATCGCACGTTCGATGAATAGTCCTAAAACGAGATGCCAAAAGTTCCGATTTTCAATAGAAAACTTTGGTCACTGCTAAAGCTCACTTTTGGTTAGAAGGATACGTTAAAAAAAAAATTGTCGCATTTGGAGTTATCATAGTCTATAAGCCATTACTGAGACGCCGTTACTTCCTCAAAAAGTTACTGTTTGGTGTGCAGTTCTACGATGAAACCCGTGATGATGTTGATGTGTATGATCTTTGGTTCCAACAAGACGGTGGTAGTTATCACAAAAAGTCAATCATTGAAGAAAACTTTTGAAAAGCGCATTATCTAGCGTCGTGAACCTGCGGCAGGGTCTCTAAGATCGTGCCCGCCACGATTGACAGAGAATATTCGGCGCGTTATCGCTGACATACAGCCCCAAGTGCTGTAAAAGCTGGTCGAAAATTGTGCCTCTTGATTGGAATTTATTCCCCAAACTCTTATCTTTATAATTTAGCTAAATTCTTGGCGTTTTACTTCTTCTTCAAAAACCACTTGTATAAAAGAGCACCCTTTGCTTTTTAATATACGGCGTTTTGTTTGTTGTAAACTCTTTAAGATATATTCAATTTGTTCTTAATCTGAAGCCCTTACCGTCGGAATGTGGATTTGGACGCTGCTTAAAGAATTAAATTTTTGTTTCAAATCAATTCAATTTGGCGACTTATCTGACCAATTATATAGGAGGCAGGCTTCTTTGTGACCCGATTATAGTTTGTATTATTTTGACAGTTGCTTGGAACTCATCGTAACAATCATTTGTATTCGTGAGGCCAGATTGGATTTTCTCAATAAATCCCTTAAATATTCGATCCTAAGTCTACGGAACAGTCAAAAATAGGTCGCCCTCTTTGTGGAAGATAAGTCCTATGTCAGTCATTTTTGTAGTATTTCAACATATCTACACAATTTGGTTGAATTATGTTTACTAATGCCTCAAAATAAGAAAGTAAGAAGTTCGTTATATTTTTGAGATAAAAGCGTAGTTGTTGTCCGTTATATAGTATGGGAAATGAGCGTGAACTTAATCTGATTTTACTCATCTACAATATCGTCCTTACTTGTGACATTAGGAACGTTTGAACCAGGTTTCGTCAAAATATCTTAATAATTGCTTTTCAGGTCATTGTTCTGTTGAACTGTTTTTGGGGTTTTCGAAGTCAACAAATCATTGGCATCCAACCTTAACAACTGGCAACTGGCTTATTTTGCATATTTACTTTGCAATATTAGTAGCATTTTTTCAGTCGACTTGCAAAAGAACGCCCAGGTGGCTTATTTTCAACTGCCTTACAATTAGCATTTACTTCACAACGTGTTGTATATACAATATATATATTTAGTTAAACATAATAATAAATTTAATCTGAGTGTGTACTTTTTGGCATCTACCAAATATCTCGTCCATTACTTCTATAATTGGAGCAAAACAAGGGCTGGCTGCATTTCCGCTCTTTACATCTGAAGTATTTTCTCAGGGGGTTCACTCTGAATCCTGTAAGCATGTGTAATTATTTTCATATGTTATAATTTATTTCCTTCTGCGCAAGGCATCACCACAAAAAACCTGCTCGCTCCGAACGATTGATGGTTTTTCTTATATGAAACTTTTATTTCATGTCATTTCAGGTTAGAAATACACTAGGGGTTGACATTCCCTGCCAAGGGGCGACCGCGAAAAAGCAGGGATACCCCCATCAAAATTTATACCAACCGGTTCAAATTGACGAGCTGAGTTGATGTATTCATGTTCGTCTGATATTTCAAACAAGCTTGAGACACATACGCCCTTGAACCACCCAAATGGATCCCTATAGCATATATACTTGAAGTCTGTTTCAGATTTTGGGACGTGAATTTGTCAAAAAAGCATTTTAGGAAGTTAAATTTTTTCTTACTCTGTCCATATGTATGATGAATTGCGTATTGATGTTGAAATTTTTCGAAACCAAAAAACTATAACATCTAGCACACATAACCCAATTGTTGTTTTTGGTCAAAAATCCGTCAAAAATCCGTCAAAAAGTATTTTCGTATTATGCATTCGTATCTACAAGTAAACATTGTCACCGGAAGTCATTGAACTCGGAAAACTTTTACGTTTTGCCCCCTCGAACCAATATTTCAGATATAAGCTTTAATAATTAATCCCAAAATGAAAGATATAAAGTCTTTTGTGTGGCCCAAGGCAGATCTTATTTTTTGTTTTATTATCTTTAAATGTTTTTTTAAAATAACAATAAAAAAAGAAGTAAAAAAATACAATAAAAAGTATAAAATTACAAAAAAAAAAACAAATTACACATATTTTTTTTAATTTATACAAATACAAAATAAATTTTCCATATTAACATTAACGTTGGAAAGGCATCATCTCTTTTCTCTCCACCCCTCATACACACGTATACACATACATATATATGTTATGTATTGTACATATGCACTTGGATCACCAGTTCGCCAAATCTAATTCAATAGTCGCATTGCGTCGATCATGTGCAAGTTGAGGTTAACAGCTTTACGTGGCATTGCTGCGTGTTTTGTTGTAGTTATACTATATTTTTATTATTATTGTTGTTTTTTTTTTTGTTTAGTTGTTAGTAAATTTGCTTGTCTGAGAGTTTGTTTGTTGATTTTTTATGCAAACATTAGTTGATTTCATAAACAGTATCTACACTTAAGTTAAGTATTTACTAATATCATACATACATACATACATACATACATACATATCTATATAGTATATGATTGTATGTGAAGAAATACATATATGTATATGTTTGTGCTAATAAGTTTTTATTAAGCTTATAACTTATAGCATGCAAATCGATTTTTATTTAATAAGCACTTATTCGTGCTTACCGCGACAAAATGTCGAATTTTTCAAGCTAATCATAGCTTAATAATTGCACAAACTATTTATCTACTCACTTATGTACTGATGTATTTACGCACATTTAACACAGATTATTCAGTTCACCTTTCTCGAGGTTGAAGTTACTTATTGCTATCAATTACTTATTAAAAAAGTAATAATTTTTGTGCTCCTCAGGTGCAAAACACGATCGATAAATTGTTATGGAACAGCTGAACTCTCTTGGACAGCTTTAGAAGCTGTGATGGTTTTTAAAATCAAAAAAAAAATAATAATAATAATTTAAATTAATAAAAAAATAAATAAAATAATTTACAATACAACGATATAAAACAAATTAAAATAAAAAGAAATAAAATAAAATCCCATAAAATTAAATAAATTTATAATTGAATTTATAAATTTAAATAAAGTAATGCAAAATAAAATACATTAGAAAATAATTAAATTATATGGAATAAAAAGAAATAATTAAATTAAATAGAACAAAATAAAATGAAATGAAATAAGGTAAAATAAACGAAAATAAAAAAATGAATTAAATTGAAAGAACATTAAATATAATAAAAAAATTAAATTAATACGAAATAGTTTAAAATTACAAAAATATAAAAACAAAACTATATACAATAAACCAAAAAAAAAATAATATAAAATAAAATAAAGCAAAATAAAATACATTAAAAAAATAATAAAATTATGTATAAGGAAACGAAATGATATGAAAAAAAATTAATTGAAAAAATAGTTTAAATTATAATTAA